CCCCCGCCATTTTTGCAGAAGAGGCTCTTGCACCAGAAGGAGTTGTCTACACTGCCCCTTCTTGCGCAAGAAAACCCCTCGTGCGCAATGCCGTTATGCCGATTATTTTCAGGAATAACGGCATTGCGCAAGAGGGTTTTCTTGTGCAAGAAGGGGCAGTGTAGACAGCTCCTTCTGGTGCAAGAGCCTCTTCTGCAAAAATGAAGGCAAATGAGGCTCGGCGATATTCCACACGCTTAGCCTCATTTGCATATTTCTCGCGCACGAAGCCGCGAGTGTCAACATAGCCAAAGAGTTTGTCTGCCAACTTCCAACAGGCTCCCTTCTGCAGATCCCTAGGCTTAACTTTTAGCACGTGAAGAACGTCTTGGCCCTGTCCTACATGCATCCCAGTTAGTGGGAGTTTTGCCATTTGCCCTCCCCCTGCTCTCCCATATGCGGCATTACACAAAGTAGCCCAGATTATCTGAAGACAATGAGAGATTAGCTTCAGTAACTGCCAGGACTGCAACCTTGTGAAGCCATCTGATAGGAAGCAGAGCTTTGTGTTCAGCTCCACTTTGGATCTTGGCCCTGTCCTACATGCATCCCAGTTAGTGGGAGTTTTGCCATTTGCCCTCCCCCTGCTCTCCCATATGCGGCATTACACAAAGTAGCCCAGATTATCTGAAGACAATGAGAGATTAGCTTCAGTAACTGCCAGGACTGCAACCTTGTGAAGCCATCTGATAGGAAGCAGAGCTTTGTGTTCAGCTCCACTTTGGAAAGCACTTAAAGCACATGCTTAACTTTAAGCATTCACTTAGGTCACCTTGACTTCAAGTGAAACAGCTCCTACCCTCCTCCTGCTTAGAAGTGCTCGTAATGGCTAGGCACGTTCCCCAAATTAAACTGGAAATGCTGATCGTATAGGAAATTGAGGGCTCCGTATGAAAATCTCACCATCATTTAGAAGTAGCTGTTAACTGGCCTTGTCTTTATTTCTTGACTGACAAAAAGACTCCCTGGCTGCAGACAGCTGCTTTGGGGAAACAGCCACTGTCACACACAATGTCTCTCACATCCTGGTCTCAGCTTTAAATCAGTTGTGCTGAGGAATTTTGGTTTTTCGGCGGGCAACTGGCAAGTCACTGCTAAAATAAGGGATGGGGAAATTTTGGGGGTTCTGGGGCCACTGACCCACAGAAAAATCAGCTGGGGGCCGCAGACAAGTGAGAAAAACAAACAAACAAAAAACCCCAAACCCCCCAAACTCTCACTGATGTGACTCCCCCAAACCCTCACTTATGTGGTCTCCAACTGAGGAGAAAGACACTCCCCACATTCCCTTCACACACCAGAGCGGAGGGGGGCCCAGGCTAGTAGATTTTGTGAGCTCCAGGCCCATGGATACAACAGGGGGGGACTGGAGCACCGACATGAACTCCCCAGTGCTGGGAGGGGTGGGGGGCGGGGAAGCTGAGCCTCAGGGCCAGATCCAGGCAAGCTGTGGGCTAAAGTCATAGTTAGTGCAAAACAAAACAACAAAACCTTTTCCTCACCCCTTTCCCCCAGCTACGTAACTCAAACCAAAATACTGGGGAGCGATACATAGGTCATTTGAATTCTTTTATGCACTATCGGTTGAAAAATCAGGTGCCTCAGAAATGGCTCCTGTTTGCCAAAACGCAAATGCTTCTGGAATAAGTGCACCCCGTTTTTCTTCTTTTTACCCTTTCTTAGGAATGGCATAACAATCACACGGGTCTGAGATAGCAGATGATCGAGTTGGTGAAAAGAAGAACGAGACGCCTCAGCTCCCTCATCTGTCTGTCTGTCTGTCTGCATCATTTGCACCTGGAGTAAAACTCCAGGGCCTCCACATAAGCATTACAAAGAAAATATAAATGGGAAATCAAGGGACAGGGCTCTGTGTTTGCTGTCTAACTATCGTGATTTATCCAGGTAGCACACAGTTTATGGTCAATAAATTATATTAGCAACCAACATCCAGATCAGCTCTCCTGGCCTGATCATCAAAACAAGCAGCTAGAAACCGGAACGGCTTTTCCAACATCTTCTGACCCCAGTTCCCTGATGGAGGGGTGGTTCGACCTTCCACTGCACCCCACCCTTGTGAATGGCGCCTACACGCTGTCTTTTCCCTTTGCGATCATGCTGGGCTTTGAGTTTTATTTCCTTCTTAGCCAGAGGAAATGTGACAACTTTAAACATTAAGGGCTGGGAGCGGCAGCCACTTAATCCAGTAGTAAATTTGACTCCCAATGTGGTTTCACGAATCGAAAAATTCTCATCCGCCTGATTGGAGCTAGTGATACGCAGAGGAGGGAAAAAATCAATGGAGCGCCCTCCTCTTCCCTCTGGGCTAAGCTGCGTGTGGGAGACAAAACGCCGTGTTGCATGAAGGCCTTTTAGTGCTTAGCCATGGCGGTTAACGCCTCCTGCCTCCTGGACTGTAAAACGAATGAGTCATGCCAATATCATTGCCACATTTCCTGCCTGGGTCAGCGTGCGACTCTTCCACCCCTGGCTTGTTTCCTTGGCCCCCGTGCTGTCCAAGTCAGCCAGAGACGTGGCCCAGCCAAGGAGCAGATGCAGCCTTAGGAAGCAGCAGATGGAGTCTTGGGGCCACCAGAGGAAAGGGGAGGGGAAATCCCTGGGGTTGGGCCTGCCCCTGAGGAGGCTGCATAGCGTTTACACAGGGCTGCCCCTCTTCAAAGCCCCGACCCGCCTTCTGTGGCCACTGACTGAGTACAGCAGAAGGAAGTCTGTTAGGGTATGTCTACACTACAAAGTTAATTCGAACTAAGGGACGTTAGTTCGAATTACCTTCCATAGGCGCTACACTAGCGCTCTGCTAGTTCGAACTTAATTCGAACTAGCGGAGCGCTTAGTTCGAACTAGGTAAACCTCATTCCACGAGGACTAAGCCTAGTTCGAACTTACTAGATCGAATTAAGGGCTGTGTAGCCCCTTAATTCGAACTAGTGGGAGGCTAGCCCTCCCCAGCTTTCCCTGGTGGCCACTCTGGGCACCACCAGGGAAACTTGTATGCCCCCCTACCAGCCCCGGAGCCCTTAAAGGGGCACGGGCTGGCTACGGTGCCCGTGCCAGGTGCAAGCCTGCCAGCCCCCAGCCAGCAGACCCTGCCCCTGGCACGCCATAAGCCAGCCACCCGATGCCCCTCAGCCCTCCGCTTCTTCCCGGGACCAGGCTGGCGGCTCTCGGGAGCTTGCCCAGGACGGCAAGAGGCGGGCACCCGCCTGGTCTAGTGCAGACATCGTGGACCTCGTCCACGAACTCCGCACTAGGCACAGGAAAGTGGCCGTCTAGGGCAGGAGACCTGCCAGCCTGGCCACCCAGGAGCAGGTTTGCATGAAAATCAAGGTGGTCCACTGAGCCCCCCGACCCTGAGCCCTGAGCGTAGAATGGCCGTACTGGGTCAGACCAAAGGTCCATCTAGCCCAGTAGCCTGTCTGCCAACAGCAGCCAACCCTAGATACCCTGGAGGGGATGGACCAAAGACAGTGACCAAGCCATTTGTCTCGTGCCATCCATCTCCAGCCTTCCACAAACTTTGGGCAGGGACACCATTTCTACCCCCTGGCTAATACCACTCCATGGACCCAACCTCCATGACTTGATCTAACTTCTCTTTAAACTCTGTTCTAGTTCTAGCCTTCACAGCCTCCTGCAGCAAGGAGTTCCACAGGTTGACTCTTTGCTTTGTGAAGAAGAACTTTCTGTTACTAGTTTGAAGCCTGCTACCCATTCCTTTCCTTTGGTGTCCTCTAGTCCTTCTATTATGGGAACTAATGGAGAACTTTTCTTTATGCACCCTCTCCACACCACTCATGATTTTATAGACCTCTATCATATCCCCCCTCCGTCTCCTCTTCTCTAAGCTGGAAAGTCCCAGTCTCTTTAGCCTCTCTTCATATGGGACCTGTTCCAAACCCCTGATCATTTTAGTTGCCCTCCCCTCTCCCAGCCTCTCTCTTCCCCTCTCCCACCTCCTTTTCCCAGTCTCCCCCAGTTTTGTTCAATAAAGAAAGATTCTATTTTTGAACACACGTTTTCTTTATTTTGTACATCAGGAAGGGGGGCTAGGGAAGGGTAAGTGGAAGGAGGTGAGGGAGGAATGGGGTACGAGCCCCCGATGGGGAGGAATGGGCTGGCTCTGCGGGCTTCTGGGGGGGGAAGTTCTCCTGCAGACCCCCGATTGCCCCCTTCCCCCCGGATGGCAGCCTGTGGCAAGTGCAGCCAGGCTGATGGCCGAGTGCTGTGATGTTCTGCGTGTGGGCACTCAGGGCACTCCAAGCCAGGACTGCTTTGCAAGCGGGGAACCCTGAGAACTGTCTGTCCGGAGTGGGGGTCGGGTCCCTTTAAGCACAGCCCTCGGTTAGCCTGAGGCAGCAGCTCCATGCTCTAAGTCCTCATCTGATGCCCTGCTGGCACTGCTTCCGGCCATCCTTAACCCCGCTTCAGGGCCCACTCAGTGTGGACATGCTAGTTCGAATTAGCAAAACGCTAATTCGAACTAGTTTTTAAGTCTGGATGCGCTAATTCGAATTATCTTAGTTCGAATTAACTAATTCGAATTAAGTTAGTTCAAATTAGCGCTGTAGTGTAGACATACCCTTAATGGGTGGGGGAGGGGAGAGAGGCACAGCTAGAGCAACTGAGGCACAGAGAGGCTAAGTGAGTCACTCAAGACCACACGGAACCTAGGAGTCTTGGCTTCCAGTGCCCTCGTTCTGACACAGGGGTGCGGAGCCTGTGTTGGGTGGGGGTTGGGGCCGCTGATCCACAGAAAAATCAGTCGGGGGCCACACACATGTGAGAAGCAAAGTGAGAAATGCGAGAAGCCCCTGACTGAGAAGGAGAAAGACCCTCCCCGCATTCCCCTTGCACTCCAGTGCCTAGGGGGGCGCCCAGACAAGTAGGTTTTGTGTGCTCTGGTCCTGCGGGTGGGTGGCAGAGGGGCTGGGGCACCAGGGCAGGCTCCCCAATGCTGAGCCTAAGGGGCTGGATCCCAGGCAAGTGGGGAGCTGCATCCGGCCTCCCGGGCCGTTGGGTACAGGAGTGGGCTGGGGGGGGCGGGGGAGATCAGGTGCAGGCCAATCAGAGCGGTGGGGGAAAAGCCTCCAGGCAATGCTTAGCTGCGCTGCCATTTCCCCAACTGGGGGTGTAAAGGGGGGGCCACTTCCTCCCCCATCAGACAGAGCCTGTGGGCCAGATCCATCCCTGGCTTGCCTGACTCTGGTTCACAAGGGGGTTCTAAGGGCTCCCCAAGGTTGGATCCAGCCCCCGGCCATAGGTTCCCCACCCCTGTGCTGGCAGCTGCCCTGGCTGGTGAAAATATAACCCGGTGGGGAAAAAGAAGAGACAAGACTCTCCACCAGCACCGAACAGAACTCATGCGTCTGACGCAGGCGGAGAAAGCCGCTCAGGACTCGGTCACAGGGGAAATAGATGTGGAGGGGGTTTAACACATCCCCAAAAGCTGCAGATGAAACCCGACTGGGACAGACCAAGCGCATTCCCAGGCATTCCCGGGCTGCAACTCAAGCGTTTAAATCATTCTCTGCGTGTCTGAGCCGATGATGTAGCTCGCTGGCGGCTTTCCTGGCGTTTCTCCTGCACGTGGGCAGGTGGCCACGTTTTCATCCCCTGTCAGAATGGTTCCTGCCACACCCCATCGGGTCTCCACGTCGCCTCAGCGAGCCTGAAGGCTTTGGAGGACTTGGCTTCCTGGCTCGCACGAGGGCTCTGTCTCCCAGGAGGTTCCTGAAACTCCTTGTCCGTGGTGGGCTGGGCTCCTTGCCCATCGCGTGACCTTTTAGACTGTAATTAGAGTTCAGGAAATAAAAACTGCTGGCTTGGGTTCTGCTGTGACGTTAGCTACGAAACAACAGGCTCCAACCAAGGCCTTTGGCAGCGAGGGGAAAGCAGATTGAGCACAGATGTGTCCGCTGCTCCTTTTGACCACTTTGGGAAATGGTCATACTCGCTGCCTGCCCTCCTTTAAAGAGACAGCTCCATCATCTTGCTCCCTCTTCCTGGGAGGAAAGCCCATTTTACCACTGGCCTAGCAAAAGAATGCAAGCAACTGGGTTTGCTAGTGGGGAGTGGTGTATACTAGGGGAGAAAGTCAACCTAAGGTACATAACTCCAGCTACAAGAATAGCGTAGCTGGAGTGGACGTATTGTCATCGAATTTCTAGGGGGTCTTTGCTGCGTGAGGTCAATGGGAGAAACTCATCCGTCAACTTCCCTTACTCCTCACGACCTGGTAGAGTACTGGAATCAACGAGGGCACTATCCGCAGTCAATTTAGTGGGACCTTACTAGACCCACTAAATCAAATCCCAGGAGATCAATCTCCGCAGTGTTGATCTCGGGGGAAGTGAAGACAAGCCCTTATTCTAAAATGAGTGAGAGCCAAAGCCTAATACTTAAAGCTTTCAATAGCATATATCCTGCCCTCTGTAGCCCTAGAACCTGTCCAGTAAACTGAGATTTGTGACACGGAGGGGTGCCCGCCAACTCTAGTTGTGATAACCCAGGCAGGCCATGAGGCATGGCCCTTTCATTATCACTCCACTCTTTGGCAGGGTGCCCAGAGCTATCAGGGTGGAAATGGAAGATTTTTTTCATGTAAGGCCTGGTTGACCTACTGTTTTCAACCAGCATAACTCTGCCAGTGAGGGGTGTGAGTTTTACCAACAGTTATATTGGTCCAAGTTCTATTGCAAAACCCCGCTAGTTCGAACTAGCGGGGTAATGTATGCATACCGCACTTGCTAATGAAGCCCGGGATTTGAATTTCCCGGGCTTCATTAGCATAAAGCCGGAGCTGCCATTTTTAAAAGCCGGCTAGTGCGAACCCCGTGCCGCGCGGCTACACGCGGCACTGGCTAGATAGTTCGAACTACGTAGCCATTCCGAACTATCTGTACCCAACAAATTAGCAAGTGCGGTATGCATACATTACCCCGCTAGTTCGAACTAGCGGGGTAGTGTAGACATACCCATGGAGCGCTTTGGGGCTTATTTTCCATCCCCTCAGAAGTGAAAGGAAGCGGGTGTGTCCTGGTGCGCAGCTCCGGCACGAGCTGGCTGAGCTACGGCAAAAGCCAGCACGGAGCTATTGAAAGAGCTGGCAGGGACCCGGGTTGCAATAGGACAGTGCCTAGAAGAAATGTTAGGTTACTTTCACCCCTGTGTCCCATACGGGAATAAATTCCACCAATGGAGGCATTTTACACTGGACGTCTTCCCGGGACAAACAGACCTTCCTGAGCTTCATGGGC